GCTGATTTGCCCCATGATTTTTGTAACGGTCGGTGAGAGAAAAAAAACACCCATTTCTTTTTTGAACAAGGCCTTTACTCACCACCTCATCCACGGTGAATTGCTGGTGTATATAAATAATATATATAATAGGATATACAGGTATCCATTCATGGTTCCATGGTTGATGTTCAATGCAATGTTCAACACAATGTCCCCGCGGTGCGATCTGGCTTGAGGGGATCAATTAGGTGGTGATTTGGACATGTTTGGGCCAAGGTGGTCACCAATGGACTACTCAACCCATTGAACACCTTATAATTATAGTCGGCCTACGTAGGCAGTGGACAGTGGACAACCGTAGACTTATTGCGGGATTGGATGGGATTGGCCTCCCAGTTCGCCGGTGTTTGAGTTCGCTTCCCTGATGGATTCAGTGATGACCACCCGGCCGGGGTGGTGACTCGGGTCGGAGCGGAGCCTCCCGGCCGGCGAGGCGGAACGATCCAGTTCAAGGACCGGACGCACGTTTCGGCCGGGGTTGGGTAGTGTGGGAGGGTGAACGCACGTCCCTGGTTTGCTTTGTGTTTTTGCACTCCCTGACAGAATCATTGATCATGAAAGTGGAACACCAGACGAACAAGATATGAATTCAAGGAGTGCGAGTTCTTTTAGCAATGATTGAGCCAGTGGATAGCCAACGGATAGTAGTAAGGCATAGGAGGTTGCTTCATCACGACGTTTGAACAGGGAGCACTGCACTAGAGCTCTGAGAAGATTGCCAGCCCCAAGCAGTTCCAAAACGGTTCATGGCCGTCAAGAGTGCGTTTGTTAATCCTGTCCACCTATTAACAAAACACGCCCCCCCCCTCCCCCTATTGAGATAAACTTGGTCGCATTTTTGTAAATAGGGGGTCCCTGAAATCGGGGGGGTCCAACATAGGGTCACCTGGGAAGAGCTTTAAAACCAAAAAGTCATCAAAAGTCATCCACAAATGTTTTATATAAAATAATCGTATCAAAAATTCAAAAAAATACCTCCAGATCGAAGGGTCTTCCTTTTCCCCTAAAAAACATTTATTAAATACTGATTCTTCGTTAGACTAACAACCAAAGCTTTCGAAAGGTGATGTCGCTGTGCCATGCGGTTTTGCGTGGCAAGTGCGTTTGCGTGAGTCCGTGCCATTGGAGGAAGGAAAACCTGCTGGTGTAAACGTGGCGTGTCATGGTGGATACACAGGGCGGACAGATGTGGCAGTTACGACTGGTTTTGGAACCCAGTAAAAGAAACTACCCCAAAAATCCGCCATGTTGGTAGTTTAGTAGCGGCTTGAAAGGGCGGTAATTTAAAAACAAATGTAAATTCAGGTTAGGGATTCGGACGAGGGCGATAATTCAAAAACAAGTATAAATTCAGTTTAGGGCTTCGAATTGGGGAGGCTTTTTAAGCAGGTACCCGGGGGACTATTTGGGTGCTGGCTTCAGAGATTCTTATTTTAGAATCATCTCACTGACTCATGATCAGTCAAGTGGCTTGAGACCACCTAACCAGCTTGTGTGTAGGACTGACCACATGGAAGTTCCATGCAGTTTCTGCGACCGAAGCTGAGGTGGCCGACAAATCCGGTACCTTCCCAACACTCGAGTCCATGTATGGAATAATTTTTGGAATATATATATATATGGGGGGTGTAACGGGTGAATGTAGGTCATGACAAATGTCATGGATGGCACTTCCATGATGTTTTCATTGGGAGCAAATGAAAGATTGGGGTACAATTAGGGGTGAGTGCCGCTCATAAATGCCTGGAAGGTTCTGTACCTGTAAGGACCTAAGGAGGCTATAAACCAAGCCAAGCAAGTCCATGGATCGCACCGTTGGATCAGGAGGTAGCTGAAGACAACCCCTTCCCATGCATTTGCTCCACCTCACCACCCGCTCAGTCGTTTTGACTGGTTTTGACTGCACCGGCAACCATTTTCACTTATTTTTGGCAGGAGTTCATGGACCATCACAATCGCGTGCTGGAGACCTGGCAAAACTTTCATCCAAACAAGTTCATGCTTGGGGTGGTTGGGATGTATGGATCCTGATCCAATTACTGGATGGGTCTTGGTCTTAAAAGAATGCCCCAACTTGGAGGAACTGCGGGCACTTCTTTCAAGCGTTGAAGCATCAGAATTGGGAAAGTGATGGAAAGTGAACTGATTGAAATTGGAGATTGTTTCAGACGTTTCTTCTCTTAAGTAGGTCACATTTCAATAGCTTTGACAAGCTTCTGGTGCCGCTTCTGCGGAATAATCAGAGGATTCAGGTGTTAAGACCATGACGGCCATGACGGGCATACATCCGGCCCACATCCGTCCGGTCCTTGGTCAATCAATTAGGTGATTTGATGTCATAAGGCTCAACCATGAGCGCTAGTAGTACATCATTCTGGCCCCTTCCGCCTCTGAATTTCCAGCCTCCTCCGCGGAGCATCCTCCGCGCAACCACCACCGCTTCGCATCGCACCGGGTCGCACCGCGACCTGCGACCCGGGTCACCGTCGCGACTGACGGCGAGCTCCGCCGTCAGGAGATGTCCAGTGGCGCCTTAGGACGCGTCGAGGTGGTCACCGGCGAAGAAGCCCAGAAGATCTTCCGCCACGCCGCACCTCGGTCGCCTCGCTTGACCAAAGTAGTAGGACGTGATGAACAGTGAAAACCAGCTGTTGTGAACACCTGAATGTGATGTAATGCACTATAGCTTTTGAGGCGATTGTTGATTTTCCTGGACGGATTGGGTGAAAGTTTTTTTGCTGCAGTGCCACCTCATCCGAGGACAAGGACCATAACCATCGTTTGGACCACGACGAGTTCTTCGATTACATGCTCCTCGGCGGCCAGAGGTCAGACATACGCGGCGAAGCCGCGGAGATTTTGCGGAGGGAGAGATGAAGAGGTGAAGAGAGATATATATATATATATAGTTACTGATGAACTGAAAGTGCCTCCACATCAGCATGCCTCCGGCTGCTAGGCCCACATAGGAGTAAGTACCCCCTCGGCCAACGTAGGACTGGGGTCCCTAGGATTCCTGTTTCAGGGAGTGGATCCCGAACTAGAGAGCACTGACTGCAAAGCCATGTCTATCGTTTTTTACAATTGGTCTTGAAAGGTGAGGATGGGTGAGGTAAGGGGGTGCTCCAGACGGTCAAGAGATGCCCTCGGACATAGATAACGCAACTTTGTTGAATAGAGATATGTCTTCACATTGAGGATGCTCCTGTTACTTTGGTGCCAGCATGGAGCTCACAGTCAATGTGCTTGGATTTGGTTGCGCACATGGAATCTTTGGGATGGTTACTTAGGACCACCCCCATTCCCAAGCAGGCATCACTAAATCTTGATCGTTTGATCCCAGTCTAGCTCACTTCAGTTTATTCCACTCAACATCCCGCGCCGTGAAACACCTTGAAACACCTCACGCAGACCAACTCACACCCAGTTCTTCAGCGCCGCCCATGGTCATTGCGCATCTCAGGAAGGGCTTTTTGAGTGTGGTCGGAGTGAAGCAGTTCGAGAGCGTTTGCGGCACTCTGGCGCCTCGTTCGCTGCCAGCTGGATGTTGCGGGGGGCTATCCTGACAGGGGGCACTCCTTCAAAGGGACTGGCAGACTGGCTCAGACACAGCTCGTTTTGGGACCGGCGACTGGCAGTGATCCCAGTAGTAGTCGTAGTAGTAGAAGTAGTAGTAGTAGTCGTCGTAGTCGTAGTCGTAGTCGCAGTCGTAGTCGTAGTCGTAGTCGTAGTCGTAGTCGTAGTAGTAGTCGTAGTCGTAGTAGTAGTAGTAGTAGTGGTAGTGATCCCCAAGTAGATATAGTGGCAAGGTGTCCAATATGTTTCCATCATGTTCCCAATACTTTTTTTGTGTGGAGTCTACATTTCTATATATTTGGTTATTTGGGGGTCTATCTGCACTGGGGTGGTTGATTTCAGAATTTCAAGGGTCCACTGATCGGCAGGGTCTATCGGCATATCTTCCATTCCCATCGGTCGGGTTTGGAAACCCAATGGACCTGACGATCCGGGTTGAACCCAATCATCCCCAATTCAAATGCTGCCCTGTTTTTTTTGGACTATAGAGTGTTTGTTTGCCTGCGGAGACCCCAGATTGATCAATTCGTTGGAATATTGGGAAGAAGGGACCATGATGAATCAGACCTTTTGAGAATCAAACTTCTCTTCTGGCCAACGGCGACCCATTCTTACTTCAAACTGTTTTGCAATCTCTTGCAAGAGGCAAGACGATGCACCTGGAACCTGACACCGGAATCCTTCCAGCAAGAGATTCACATAACACTCGTAACACTGCGGTTGAAGCTCAATCTTCCGGAGAGAAGCACATCGAATCCAAACCTACCACCCCAAAAATTGCTTCCACTTGGAGCTTTCTATTTTTACTTGCAGCTCGTCCGCTCAGAGATTCCCGGCCACCAAGATCCCCTTCTATCTCTTTCCACATCCTCCGAAGGCACTTGGCCCCCCCCGGCACCTGGGACTGGAGCCCTATCCCCTATGGATCCACATACCTTCTCAGAAAGTATTTGGGCCCCCAAGCCTACCTAAATAGTCTCCAATCACCTTCCTGGACCTTCAAGGGGTGTCCTGTCTGGAGTGGGCTGGGGCTTCCGTTGGCCCTTGGAAGGTGGTTCTCAGTTTCGGTATGTGGATCCATAGGGGTCCAACCTACCGCGGTAGAGACCGCGGTCTATTTGGTGTTTCTCTCGCTTCGCTACCGCGTTCCGAACGGCAGGTGCAGGGCGAGAAGATGCGGCGCGCCGTGATGGCGGAGGGCTTTGATCGAAAGAGCAGCGAACGGCTCTTGGAGCAGGCGATCGGACCCGGCTCGTTCGATCGGAACCGGCTCGTGCGTGCGATCGGAAGGGCGCCCAAAAAAGAACCATCCCAGCTCCAGAGGTGAAACTGGTGCTTCAACCGTTGACCCACTGGATGGCCTCAGGGTAAATCAGGATGGCATGGCCTCCTTTCTACGGAACGGCACATGGGGTATGACCCTGTCCTACAAGGTCACTTAACCTCTGTAGGTCTTGCCCCTAAGAAGTGGTGGATCATGACTGCTCCGTGGGGTGCGAGTCATGAGTCACTCGGCTCGCTCGCTCAGGCCAACGTGTCCTACTTCTACAAGCAGCCCATGAAGGATCAGGCCTTCGGGATTGGACTTGGCGAGGTGGACTGCCAGATGACCTCGCATGGATTTTAGTAAAGAGGGGGCAAAACTAAACCATACTACTTGCCGTGTTTCTTTTTTTCAGTTGGGGTGGCTTTGAGGATTTCCCGTGAATCATGGAGGATGGACAGAGGACAGGTGCAAGCAAGTGAGTGTGCCACTTTTGTTTAAGCTTTTGGGGCATGCTTTCATGCTCCCAGACATGCACCAGTGGACAAAGCAAACCTTCCATGTAGCTCTTCTAAAGCCCCTTTGTGCATCTCTTGGAGACGAACAACTCACGCGTGCGCACTTGGCACTTGGCGGCCCGGAACGGCCGCGTGTGGTCAGGCCTTGGCCTTCCTCAAAGCACGTGCAGATCCCAACATGGCAGACAAGGAGTGCCATGAGTGCCGTCGGGCCCCTTGGGGCCGGGCCCGAAGGACACATTTGGAACATCATGGCGTGTGGCGAGTGGCGGCTTTTGGTAGGTCTTTCAGTCAGAGTTCAATCAAAAGTCTTGAGGAGCAAGATGGCCATTCTCGTAAGATAGTTGCTTTGTGTTGCTTGAGCCCTAGGGCATGGTGGGTATATGTGGGTATGGTATGAAGATGAAGGGGCGACTCCTCCAAAAAGGAAGAGTACCTCTCCAACGACTCTGGAGACAGACAGCCCTACCCAGAATGAGTGGATGCCCAAGCTCTTTTGGGAGATTGGGGAGTTGTCCCACTCCAGGATCCAGGGGTGGAGCGGGTGGCGTTCGGCGCCAGGGCGGGCGTCGGCAGCTAACACCTGCAACACCTCGGCCCATGTCAGATAGCCATGTCAGGTGTGAAAAGTCGGGCCCAGGTCTACAGGGGCCCAGCTACCTCGGGCTCTCGGCCCATGTCAAGGCTGCTTCAGATCTGCTTCCTCGAACCGAACGGCCGCGAGGGTGTGGTAGTTTGGTTTGGAAAACCTTTGTTAGTAGGGCAGGGGGGCACCATTCAGATGTTCGTTTTGCCCTATGTTGACAGTTTCTTATTTTTCGGACTGGGCAAATCCATCCTGTCTGGGTGTCCTGGCTAGACTACCCGCTCTACTTATAGGCCAGGACACGGCACCCAGACAGGAAGCGCTATCAAACCCCCCGACCTCCACCGATGCGCCCAGCCCAGCCGTTTCACGCCGCCGCGCTTCGCTGTGGTCGATCCCCCCCGGAGGACGGCACCACGATCCTCCTCCACGTCACCGGCAAGACGGACGCCTCCTTCGTGCAGCAGCTCCTGGCGGCGCGCTGCGACCCCAAACGCCATAACAAGGAGCGGCCGCCGCGGTCCGCGGGCGGGTCCGAAGCCACCAGTTGGACCTGACCTTGGGTGGTACATATATGGAATGGGCATGAATGGGCGATAAGTAGGGCTGTTCAAGCTCTCTAGGCATGGAGGAGTTGGAGGGATCTGAAATCTGTTTTTTTCTTGTTTGGGTGGGTGCTCACACCCATTGGCAAGATCTAAAGGAACCACCTCTGACCCCACGGACGTGCGTTTCATATATGTTTTAATATGACGTGTTTTTGTCCTTTAAGCATTCTTATATATGGAATGTAATAAATCCCAGACACTCCATGGACTCCATGAATGCCATATATGCCTACATTGGGGTGGTTTGGGGGGTCAATGTAAGCATATATTCCATACACGGAGTGTATGGGAAATGGAATCTTATGGATGGTTTTATATGTCTCTTGTGACTCTACCCTCACTTGCCACGTGACGAGTCCATCGCGGCGGTTTCCGGCGGTCGTCGTCCGCAGAGTGCTGTCTTGTGCCGTCGGTGCTGGAGCGGTGTCCGGGTCAGAACCCGACTGTTCGACGATCCTGTAGGTACCCAGGTTACGGGTCCTATACCCTACAGGTCAATGACCTCAATTTGGAGTTGGTCATACCAAAGCACTCTTCCAGCAAGCAAGGGACCTGGGTTTGACTGGGCCAGACTGGACTTGTAGGGAGTTCACTTAACCTCTCTGTTTCTTTTTTGCCGGGGTTCCGCCCTGTTAGCGACCGCTGCAGGAGCTGGATTGCCCTCTCTTCCGAGCCGCAGCCGTGCGTCACATGGACGTCACTTGGAGGGTCGTGGAGTGGAGCGGAGCCCCATAGCAACAGAGGTTGAGTGACCACCAAGAGAGGTTAAGTGACCTGAACTAGGACCGGTCACCTGGGGGGGCCCATAGGATAGCCTATAAGGTTCTTCAACCTCTGTTGGCAGGTCACTAGGACCCGGAAAACCTGGGGTACCCTCGCCTGGGGTAGTCGAACTAGGGTGCTGACCCACCTCTGTTGGGTTCCATATGAAAAGGATTTCGATTTCAAGCGGGTTTAGTCATCAAGAGTCTACATTAGGGAGCGGTTCGTTTTTCGACAAACAACAAACACAGCGGGAGGATCACCCACCGCGGACCTTACAGGGCCGTTTTGAGTTTCACACGAAACGACCTTCTGCTCACGGGACGACACTCCCTGAAAGAATGATGGTTACGTGGAGGGCCCCCCTGGTCGGAAGACGACTTTCCTCTATATAGAAGTAGGGAGGTGAACTTGGTGAACTCCTCTTCCATGTGAGTGGATAAGGATGGATAAGGAGTGTCGCTTCTAGTGAGTTTGTTGGGACTTGGCTGCCCAGGGGACCTTGCCTTCGTCAAGGGTACATGAATGTGAACCAATAACAATCAGGGTCGATTCCTGTTTGAGTCAGTACTTGTTGTGCCTCTTGCACTTGCCTCATCTTGCCTCCAGACTTCCAGAGCAAGGTCGAGTCCAATTTCTTAGTTCTCACCGCGCCCCAGACACGTTCTCTCAGCTCTAGTTAGACCATCTTGATGCAAGTGGTCAGCAAGAAGCTCTCCACCAAGAGTTTCAAAGGGGATGGTTGATGGATCTTAGGCCCAGCACAATCAGGGGTGCCCCTGACGAGCCAACAGCCGACACCACCATACACCACCCAACTCCATGCGACCCAGCAAATTCTGACTCCCGGACCGCCGCGCAAGAAAACGCACGCCGGCCAATGAAGGCGCCTCCCCAACAGATCTTGAAGGATGTTGAAGGACCCTAGGTCGACTATCCCAGTCTACCCGCGTTTTCCCTGTCCTAGTAGTTCGGTCACTGGCTACCTCTCTTGGCCTTACCCGACACTTCCTCAAAACGCTCAGGTCATGAAGGTGCTCTTAGGCTGGGCTGCCTGGAACGACGCCCCCACCGCCGAGCGCGCTGCCTCGGGTGGCACCGCCGTGTCTGACGCATCGCCCACGTCGCCGCGGAAGCGGCACGCGCTGAGCGAAGAGTTGGTGAAGCAAATGCACGAGCTCACAGGGATTCAAGTGAGGCAGTTGGTCCGTGACCTGGTTAAGGGGTTGGTGGATGGCGAGTTGAGACGTTGAGGAATTTATATACATGAATGTGTGAAGTTGTGCTGGTGTCATTTGGTTTCACTTAGGCAGTGCAGTGGTTTAAGTTTTGATGGTGCTTTTGATGATTTTTGATGCACTATGATGCACTAGCTTTTGTTCTTCTTCCTTAGTCAGAATTCAGGATAAGAAGCGTCCTTCAGTCCGGTGTTAGAAGTTGGCAGATGACTTCCTGAGTTCCCCCATCAGAGACCTTACATCTCGCTCAGGGCACCATGTTTAAGGAACCAGTGACTCTTCAACCTACCCAGTCTGCGGATAACCTGCTGAAACAGGTGGAAACAGGTTAGCCATTCTTTTCTAGGGAGACTGAGGCAGTCAGTGAATTGATGAACCAAATCCAAGGAGACAAAGCGGACATGAACTACAAGGCGCAGAATGGCTGGACTCCTTTGACGCTGGCAGTCTTCCATGGAAAGGTGGACTGCGCTTTGGCCAGCAGGGGCCTGGCTATGGGAGCGATTGGAGCATCCGCGGCTCCATGTAATGTAAGATGAAGACCAGCCAGAGAAGGGTGCCAGATCCCTTCGAAGGTGCTCATGATATCTTCTGAGTTACTTAGAGATGATGAATCATGAGGAAGTCCGCTCACGAGCTTGGTAGCTCTTTGTTAGCATGGTCCATCCATTGCTCAACAACCCCCCCAAATGCACATGCAGCTGCTTCTGTGGCAGTACACCTGTCATTGAGACAGGTGTCAAGAAGTAGGTCAAGATATTACTAATCCCGTCCCATCACATCGTATCACATGCTTGTCTTCGGTAGGGCCAGGCAACGAAGTGCGAACCGAAAGCAGCCGAACCGAACTGGGAGGGATGAGAATGGGATGAGAAGTCTGCAGAGTCCCCATGAGCATCAGATAGCAGATATGGAACATCCCACAGATATACTCGGGGACACCCAAGTGCCACACCCAGGAAAAGTGGACAAACCTTATACAACCTTCAACATTATTTGGGAATTGGTTTGCCCACTCAAAATGGTGGCAAGGTTCGCTTCACGTTCCGCCAATCCCATGTTCGGTCGAGGACGAGGATTTCTTTTGTCATTCGTCCCTTCATTTCGGATCATGTTCATACCTGGATCTTCCGACTATGCAAGAATCCTGCCTTTTGGCTGGTGTTATACAAGATGAAAAGGTTGACATGTTGCACATTTGGAAGGTCCAAGTATCAGACAACCGAAAGCATCGCGCAGGGATCACCTGACACGAGACACTCGTTCTTCACCTCGAAGTCCTCAAACCCAGTGGGTGGATGACCGGAGGGAAGCGCAAACTAGGCTAAGCGCTAGGCGGGCTAAGCGCGCATCCTTACACGACACATGTGTGGGACTGCCAGTCAGGACTACCGAGAAACGGCCAGGGGTGGTTGAGAAGGGGGGTCAGTCTGGGGCGGCAATCCTATGGCAGTCCCATGGAGAGTTTGGGCTTAAGCTTAGCGGACCTGTGTCGTTGATGTCGGACATGCGAAACTTGAGGTGTTGAGGGGCTCATCAAGGTGCAGGACAGTGTTGCTTGCGTGTGGAGTTCGAGCCCAGTTGAATCCTCCTGTTGACTTTTTTTTGGCTCTGTGATGCATCAAAAAACGATATGATGAACAGGTTGTCAAATGTTCAGAGGGGAGGTTTCTTCATCCGCAGTCCACCCGGGCTTGTGGGCTGAGAGGTCAGAGGCTGCTTGCGTGTCTCAGTGAAGAGCACTCGGAGAAGGGAAATGATCTTTAATGATGGCTATGTGTTTTTTGACTTCAACAACTGTTGTCACGTTGTTGCACCATGTTGCACCCGTGTTGCCCATGCGTCGTTGGTTGTGAGCCTTTGACGTTGGGAGTGGGGCACATAGTTGGTTCACGGAAAAAGGCACCAGGACCCCCAGTCGGGGGTGGTGAATGGACACCCCCGAATCACCGCGTGAAACGGGGCGTCTCAATTGACACGCCACGGGTGTCGGGTCCTGGTCACTCCAACTCCGTTGATTCACCCCCACACCGCGACTCCTCACCTCCGACCCGAAGCCGACCGAAGCCGACCTGGCAGGATGCCATGACCGGAAACAAGCTGCAGCTCCAGGGGAAGAACGCCCGTGGCCGGGCACCCTTGCACCTCACCGCGCGCAAGGAGAGGAGTCGGCGAGATGCGCGGCGTGATGCGTGGGGCGCGGCGGCATGGCCAAGAAGCCCAACACATGGCAAGCGCAGAATGGGAAGCGCCCGAAGCAGTGGGAGCTGAAGTGGAGTTCAGATGAGTTATAGTTGTTTTGGGGGGGCGATGTTCGGGTGATTTGGGAGGATTCCCGAACTGGTTGTGGTTCCCATTCAGCAAAGCTCCAAGGGTGGTAGTACATCAACTGGCTCAACTTCGGCCGGCCCAGAGGATCGATCGGGGTTCGGGGCGGGTTCGGGTTCCGTGCGACTGCTCGATGCTTGATGAGCTTGATGTATGTGTTGGATTTTGGTGGGGATTCCTAGCAGGCCACCTCCCGTTTTGAAGGTCAGAGTGGTTGGAGGAATTGCCAAGGTCGTCCACTTTGACCCCTTCGGGGAATCCTGTGTAGACATTTCGTTTAGATGGCAAGCAAGTATAGTAAGTAGTTTGTCCGAAAGCATGGGAAGAATGCCAATGGCGGAAGAAATTCCTTCACCAGCTGAGCTGAGCCCAAAGAACAAAACACTACATTTATTGGTGGTTTGGTGGTGAACTTGGTGGCAGGAGATGTTTTAGTTTTTCTTCCATCAGCATAATAAGCTGGGGGGAGGGAACAACCAAGCTTTCCTGTGAGCTAGTGGCCCGGCTCGGCTTGCTTGCTTTGCACCAGTTTTGGGCATTCTTCTCAGTGGTGTCCTGCATAAATGTTTGGTTTCCGGCTGATCTTGCTTTCAGAGGACCTGGCGCAGATCGCACGGCTGTTGATCACCAGCAACGCAGACCCGGATGTGAAGGATGCTGATGGGTGGACTCCATTGCACCATGCCTCTCGGGATGAAGAGAATCGCGAAATTAAACCAGGGCAAGACAGTGTGATGCTGTCAGATTGCCCCAGAGACTCCGGAGAATAGTGTGCTCGGGGCTTTCCTACTGTCAGAACTCCAGATCATTATATGAATGAAGTTGAATGATGTCCTCCTTTGGTCAGAGCCAGAGCCAGACATATTGGACCATGAAAGTGACCTTTATGATTTGGGCAGCTATGCCTTCCAAGACCAACGCTTCATTCATGCACATGAAACAGTGGATCTTCCATCGAGACAAGGGCCGTTGCAAAATTGCCACCTGCATGACGCAACTGATGGTGCTCATTTGTTGTTTGGTCAGCATTGTTGATGTTTTCTTTGTGTAGGGGGTGTCCTTACCACGATGGTGCTTCTTAAATCACCATAGGAACTCGTTTTTTCAGTGGTTGAACTCCTGCGTGGGATCCCAATCTGTGTATTTCAATGCTGGTTTGTATTTCAATAGGGAGACGCTTACCCCCCCATATAATCCCGTTTGGGCTCCAGGAGGTTACCTCCTCAGGTTCGGCATCAGTCGGACCCTCCTGGTACCCTCCCCAAACATCCCCAGAGACCTTGTAAGGAGGTACGACTGGAGCCCAATATAATGGGTTTCAGTTGTGGTTTGTTTCTTGCTGTGGTTCCTTGGGAGGTCTCCCTATGGTCTCCATGCACACCCTTTTTTCACCACGCAGGGTTGAAGCATGTGGTCCAGCTATGCACACCTATTTGCTGTAGCCTTCCAACCATGTTCGACGTGCGTTCCATGCCCTGTTGCTGTTGCTACTTCTCAAAGGAGTGTTTTTCTTTCAAGGGATCAGGTTCCACCTCTATGATGATAGTGTACGAATGCAGTCATCCTCCAGAGAATGATGCAAAGAGTTCCCAGCAACGCTGTCACGTCTTCGAATCTGGTTCTGCTTTGTACTGCATGGCTTTAAAGTCAAAGGCTTTAGATACCCTGTGGCCCGTCTCCCCAAGAAGCTTTAGTTCTGTCAGAAGGCCTTGGCATGTGTGTGTGTGTTACCTTGTTGTTTTTTCAACCAAAGGGGTCAATGCAGGCATATTTGTTTCATTATTGATGCGTGTTGAATAAGAACACCGCAATCTATGGACCCCTCTCTTCGGAATGGGTCAGACCTGCTAAGGCCTGCTTCAACGGCAACTCCTCTGTGGTCAGAGAACTCTTGCAGGGTGGAGCGAACCTTTATATCCAAGGTGGGGGGCAGGGTTGCCTGGCTTTTGCTCATCATGTCATTTCGAAATTTAATTTCTGAAAGGTCTTTGTTTTGGCCCTCATCGGAATCCACCCTTCCAGAAATGTAGGATAGGCATGCCACTCCAGGTCATTTGATGAGAAAAAGAGACAGGTACATTATTCTAGTATATTTTTGCAGACTCCAGAGAGGCAAAGGGCCTAAGAGTCTCTATATGAAATTATATGAAATGATCGACGCGCAAGATTCTGCAATGGCTCTGTCGTTTGCATGTGTCCAACCTGTGGAAACCTTTGCTGGTGGCTTCGGAATAGACATATGCATGATACCCCTTAATTTTTATAGGTGTACATATATAGCAATAATTAGATAACAATATTTAGTAATCATGCCCTATATTGAGTCTTGTAAAGAGACGTGTAGACACATAGACACTACAACCCGTATAATACTTTATATTTAGTGTATATATAGTGCAAGTGCGAAATAAAGAACGTGTAGATATATATACTGTAGTACATACATAGAAAAAAAAATATATATAGAGAGAGAGAGAGAGAGAAATTATAGAGATACTTCCCCAGTCCCGATCCATCGCCTCCTACAACTACATCTCCCCTCCTACCATTCACTACGCCCCCCCCTCCCGACCCCGTTCGCTCACCCGATTCCGGCGCTCACCAGGCGTGGGCGGCTTCACGGCCTTCTTGGTCACCAAGCTGCCGCAGCGCGCCTGCGACCTGAGCGACTCCGTGGTGGATCTCATCAAGCCCGGCGAGGTGCGGAGGGGTCCGGTGACCGGTGGTGACTGACCGGTGACGGGACTGTGGGATGGAGCTGGAGCTGCTTGGACCTGGTTGGACCCGGTTCGAGTCGTTGGTTGGAGTGGTTGGAGTGGGAAAAAAAGGTGGTTTGGTGAGGAAGGATGGAGGAGTGGAGGCGCAGGTGGAGAAAATTGCGAGATGACGGTCTCCTGGGTTACGTACACATGGGTCAATGTGGATGGTGTGGGCCCCTAAAGGAAGAGCCTAGAAGTCGAACCACCATTGTTTTAATAGCCTTTACCAAACAACCATTGTTTTACTAAGCATCTTACACCACAAAACCAGATCAACCATTTTTTAAATGGTCTTTGACTTCCAGGGAAGAGCATTATCCCAAGACAAACTGGGAGTTTTGGGGCACTTTGGCGAGTCAATTGGCTCAATGACAGTGCCCGAGCCAGCCTTTCCCTTTAATGGCTAACAGACACCACCCAGGACCCGAACCAGCCGGCTGGTTGGGGGTTTGAAATCCAGTTGTGGTTCAACATTGGAATTTTACTTGAGATGATTGAACCCACTGACTCATATTTGTGTTGTGAGACCACCCAAAATCCGGACTTTCAGAACGCTCGACCGGGACGCGCTTGCACGCGCTTGCCACGCGTATTCGCGCGTTGCATCGTTCGGCCGGTTTGCGCCAGGGCGTGGACTTCCAGAAACGCCTGGTGCCCATCTTCAAGGTGCCCACGAAATTCGCATGACAAATGGAAGGACGCCAGAAGTCTAGGAAACGATGATTTGAATTTGGGGGACCACCGAAAGTAAAGGAAATTCCGAACTTCAGCTCACCGAAAGACCACTTGAAAATGTCTCTTGGACTGCCAGGGGAACTGTTGGGGAGATTTTCGTGGCTTTCCTCCCACTGAACATACCTGGATCTGCCAACTGTGGCAAAGGTTTGATTTCTCATGAAATATATAAATAACAGCCCAAAGGCAGAAATTGGGCATAGCATGAAAGTGGAAAAGGATCCCTTAGAAGACTACTTTCCTTTACAAACAGGGGGTTTTCCACTTCCATGTGATGTGTTCGTGCGAGTGCCTCCAAACAGCAGGTGGAGTTCATTCGGTTCACCTTTTATTCCCAGGGATCAAGTTCCGGTGTCGGGCGGAAGTCAGGCATCGTCGCGTGCGTCCTCGTTCTGCGGCGGACCAGGGGTTTACGTGTGGACCAGACCTGGGAGCTGGGATGGACTGGGACTGGGAGAGATCTATGCAAGGTACAGTTGCTTTGATTGATAGGTTGCGTTGATTGTAGCCCATTCGCTCTAGGACTTGGCAGAATTTTGCAGCTGTCATCGACAGTCTACACCCTAGCTCATCCACTTAACTGCAGGAGTGGGTGGCCCGCCTGTCCGCCTAGGGGGGAATTGAGCTCAGCTTCGATGCACGAGGGATGCATCACAGCCACTAGACCATACCGGCCCTCTGGAGAATCTTGATTGATAACCCCCAGGTATGACCAGTTGACTGCAATCGAACATTGAGAATATGCAAGGCTCTACCATGGTTCTACCTCAAGAAGTTGGAGACCGGAGGATGTGTGTCTTCCTTCCCAGGCCGAGGACATGACGGTGTTGCAGAAAATCGAGGCCTTGATGGATCTGCCAGGACTGCGAGGATCAAGGGCTTTCCCAGTGTGGACCCAGACTCCGTCATGCTTTCGGTGGGTTTGGACGCGTGTCCATCCGAAAGTTCGTGCTCCAGGCATGGCGGTTGGGACGAGCTTGGTGTAGCTAGAATCTAGAAGTAGTATGACTGTAAAGTAGAATTTGGGCTTGCCCTATGACCTGCAAGAGTCAGTCAACGAGTCAACCAGTATCACTATTTTTGAGCAAGGCTTGCCACCTAACCATGATCATCCTAAGTTGATTCTGATGGCCACGCACTGGCTGGGTTTGACCAGGACATTCTTCACCAGGTGGACCTAGCAGGAAACCGGAGCCCGACGTCAAAACCGATACGTCCAAGAGGACGTTTTGCCTTAGAGCCAGGGTGATTCTTGACCAACCTTGGGCGACCGCCTTGGGGACATGTGGTGTTTTTCGAAGCGAATCACACTCCAGTTTCACGAACTCAGACTATCTCAGAATCATCCTGAAGGTAGAGCCCTATAGGCTTCCAACCACCGATTTAAAATTGATGTGCTTGCATCCCGAACCATGTTTGAATTAAGCATTTCGCACTACAAAGCCAGCTCAGCCATGCTTCAACTGGTCCGGAAGGCGATGTCCGGGTCTTCGCATGTCGTGATGTCTGCAGGAGTTGGTCAGACTCCGGAGCGCTTGCGGTTGCATGAGCAGTTCTTCCATCCCTTGCAGGGCCCCAACAAGGTGGGGCGCCGGTGCAAACCACAGAAGAACGAAGACTCCAAGAGAGGTAGGTAGCCAGTGACCGGGACCATAGGACCCGGAAAACCTGGGGTACCAAACTGGGATAGTCTATAGGGTCTATAGGGTCCTTCAAACTTTGTTGGCTTGGTTGAAGTTGATTGATTGATGATGACATTTCTTGATGTTGAGTGTCAAGAAAGTTATGGTTCCTGGTCAGTCTATCAGGGTCAGGAAAGTGAATAAAACACTTCCCGCCAGAAAGTCTCCACCATCGATGTTGCTGTTTTCATTGTTCTTCTGGTCTTGCGAATCGGGTGAAGTGAAGGGCACGGAGAAGAGTTGTTCCCAGTACCTGGACACCCCAGCGGCAACCCAATCAACGAGCTCCTTGCTGAACACAGGGCGATCCACAAAATTCAGTGGCCGATTTGGGAAGTTCAGATCATTTCATCTTGGATGAGCAACTGCTGGGGATGGTCATACCATGAGTATTTTTCTGGTGCGTTTGGCGCAAAACAGGTGGACCGAAAAGGCCCGTTGGGTGCAGCCAGACCACTCCCCGTTAGCTGTTGGGGGCCTTTTTTTGTTCAGCCTTTTTGTTGCTGCGGCCGCATGACCGGTCTCCAACAACCGATCTCCGCCAGGTGAAGTTGAAGCTGGTGTGGAGTCAGCTCATTGTTCCTCTCATCCCGCGCTTGCGTACTGGAGAGGTGGACATTGAGCAAACACCCAGCCCACACCTCTCCGATGAAGCCAAGGACGCTTGGGTAGCTGCGAGAGGGACCGAACGCAGGGTTTGGGCGTGAAGCACACCTGGACGGGTTGGAAGCTATGGGGGTTGTCATGGACTTACACCACCAAACGCGACAAGAAATTCGAAGCTGCAGGACCTGATTGTCCAAGACAGGTAGCCAGTGACCGGGACCATAGAACCCGGAACACCTGGGGTACCCAACTGGGATCGTCTATAGGGTCTATAGGGTCCTTCAACCTCTGTTGCTTTGTACATGTGAGATCATGTGAGAAGACACTGGCACCGGCGGCCGGCTCCCGGTGTCACCCTGTTGGACCTCCGTGCGGAAGAGCCGATGTGTTTTGGGCCGCGGTTCTTCCTTTAAGGGCCACCGGATGGTGGGGCGGTGAGACCGTCCACACGGAAAGAACCGCGAAGGACGGAGGGTGAAAGACAGACTCCCCCACCAACGATCCCATAGAACCTGAAAATTGACCCGTGGAAGACGATGTTCCTCTACAAGCCAGTAGTTTGGGGGTTGGCTCCATGTGGTCCTGTGCAGGGGAGTAGGATGGTGGAGAATCGGAGGGTTTTGCTACAAGGCGAGAGCCAAAAACGCACCAATGATTCCGGGGGAAGAGAAGATTCATCAATCAGGATCATCCATCAAAGAGTGATTTTACAAAGAAGAACTTGTTCACATCCGGTGAAGACGATTAAAGAAGGGAGCATATATATATATAGTCCCACAGAGGCTCTTCATTCATTCAGAGTGCCTTCAGAAAGAGAACTTAATCACAGAGAGTAACTCAAGCAAAGTGAAAGAGGGGCTGAAGCACATGAAGACTCTGGCACAACCCTGCTCAGTCAAATGGATTAGCCTGGTTCTTGCAGTATGGCGGCATTCTGAGGAAGCACACAAGTTCGAAGTGAAGCGCCGTCAGAGGTTGCAAGATGACTTCTTCAAGTAACCTGGACCATGTTGAAAGAGGATGTGGGATGGTAAAGATCACCGTTTGATCCTCTCCTAGATTTGGTGGGCAACAAATCTCCCTACTAAGACTTGCCATGTACCAAGCATTCACCTCTCATGTTCTTTGCACGGACCGCCCTTTGTGTGTCTCATAGCAAACTATTATGCGAGGGGGACATGGTAGGTATCGTGGACACGAGGTGGTTGCCATGATGCTCCGGGAGGGGCAAGTATGCAATTGGCTGACCTGGGTATGAATCAATCCTCTTGGCGTCATGATTTAGATGGTGACCACCCTCATTCGCCCCCCCCCTTAGCAAACATCTACCAGGAGACCCGTTCGCCCATTGGTGGCTACCGGGGAGTCCATGAAAACCACGTCCAAACCACACCCCGGAAAGGGGTGTTCAGGAACGGAGTTCCGACCGTGGAATGGGTTGTCCAGGAACGGACGGTCAACAGACCGGGTTTGCAGGTCACGAAAGGTAGCTTGAGCTACCTGAGTTCTCCTTGCTTTAGCAAACATGTGCATTGAGTTTGGTCCTGTAAGACATGATTCTGTTCGTGGGGGGCCCCCCCCTGGATCAAATCCCCCCTGCGGTTCACGCCGTCATGGACTTCTACCAGGGTTACTGTGATTGCCTGCTACCTTTCGCTCCTCTCTCCAGTGGATGTGTTGGATGGGGTGCCAATTGCTGGCTACTGGGGCGTCCATGAACCACCCCTGAGGCTCCAAACCACACCCCGGAAAGGGGTCTCAATGGCCGTTCATCCGGGAACGGACGGTCAACGGACGTCCGTTGCAGGTGGATGCGTTGGATGTTCGAGGTCGAAACTGTGACCAGGGCCCGTTTGGGCCATGGGCTAGTTCATGGATACCCCGAATCACCTCTAAGAAGCTAAGAGTAGACACCCCCTTAGGGGGGCCTGGTATGGTTCATGTGTTTTTATCCTCCAGGCTTCCTAGAGAGCAAATCCAAGTTGCCAATGCCATCCTGGCTGGCATGGTGGCACCAAGATGGGCGACATCCACCAAACATGTCGGCCACGATTGCCACCCCATGGGTCCCGTTGGGGTTTTGTTCCATGCCCCGAGGCACCAAACGTGCTAGTTTTGTCCCCTCCCGGAGCTCCGACCCCTTAGATTGAAGCGCCCTTTTTAGCCCATACTTGTACCATCTTGCACCACTGCAGGGTCCTAGTTCAGGTCTCTCAACCTCTTTTGGTCTTTCTCCCCTTCCCAGCGAGGCAGTGGCTCTTGGATACCAGGGGGGCCTCGGCCCAACTACTACTGGAAGCATGACAATCGCGAGGCCTACCGACGCTCGGCCACCCAAATGAAAAAAAGCAGAAGTGGTCATGAGGTGCACCGGTTGAGACAGACTCAGGGTTCGCAGCTTTGACAGTGATATCCATGGGGGGCCCTGGTCTAGAAAAGTGGGTGTTGATGGGTTCCTATCCAGAAATTCCCGAGCGGGTGGGGTTTGATTTGGCAACCTTCGGCCAACTTTCGGCCCTACATGGGCCGCATCCTTGGTCAGACATCATTCTCACATCCCCTTGGGTCTGTTTTGCTGGTGTGAATCAAAACAAAGACCCGTATCTGAGGAAGTGAGCTGGAACAGAGGCTTGGCCAGCAAGTTGCACTACACCTGGGAAGAGGCTCCCACATGGAACGGGGCTTGGCATGGACCTGCAAGGCTATTTTCCTCTACAACCCCACGTAGTGAACTCAGATTCCATGTGGATAGTAGCCGCTGCCGAGAGGCTGAGGAAGCAACAGAGGCTGCCAGGGACTTTCCCTAAGGACTTGCCATGTGAATTGGACGTGGTCTAGCTAAAGCTGTTGGAGCTGTTCGGCACTTCCTCCCGGATCCTCTCGGTAGCCATCGGGTTCATGCCGGGCGAAGACGATGCTAGGACGGGTCATTCTGAGAGAGGAAGAAATGACGAGCAGGATCCCACAAGAACATGTTAACTGATGAGCCGTGTCCGGTGCACAGGGAGCTCAAAAGAGAGGCCAGCTGGCTTCCTGGAGATGGCTTGCTCCTGCTTTCTCGAAGATCCTGTCCATGCTGATGTGACGCCCATCCGGATCTCGTGACTTCCGGTGACCGCGTTTCGTGTGGCCGAAGTGAACTTCTATCATTTCGAATACCGATGTGCTTCGGGCACAGCGATGTTCCTGGTATGCTTTGCCCAAGAGTTTGACGTTCTTCGGTTCAAGTTCTTGAGGTGTTCATTTCTAGGTGTTCAACTGGCCTTGAACACTGAGGATGGTCCAGTTCGAGCTGGATCAATTCAGAGAGGAGTTCAACCAGCTTTATGAGACTCGGCGGACAAGACGCTGAAAAATCCCGGCCTCACTAGCCGCTAGCCTTTTCCAAAATGGAATTTGGGGTTGAACTCTTAGGAGAAGATGGTGGATGAGGAAGAGTTGGGCTTGGATTTGAGCTCAGTGCCCACTGATGAAGTGATCCACAAGGCTCTTTTGAGCCAACTTCATGCGTCGCCTGGAAGAGAAACAGAGGGGGATGGGAAGGAGAAGAGGAAGGGAAGGATGACTGATGGGTGACAGTTTTGGGTCGTTTGCATGTTAATGACCATTTGACAGCATTTTACTGCCGTATGAATTGGTACGACCATCCATCTCAGTAAATGCAGCTCAGCCTTGTCCCCCGGTATCATGGAAAGGTGGGGTAATTGTGGGCCCCCCCCCGTAACAAGCAGAGCAAAGTAGTGCACCATAAAATAGATACTGTAATTATTATACACCTATTCACATTCACCTCCAGCAAGCGCCAAGGGCAAGCTGCCCTCCCAGAAATTGAGACATGAGGGCACACTGTACCAGAAGATCTCCACGGTTTTCATCGGGCAGAATTCCTGTGGACAGTTCCGCTCCTGTTTTTGTACAGACCAGGATTTGTAAGTTCATCCTTCCCCCCCCCCACGATGGCCCAACGGCTATTTCCTGTCAGACCCCTCCCCAAAAAAAGGTGATCCCCCAAAACCAGGCTCCAAATGCACTCCAAACCATGGCTCCCAAATCCAGATGTTCTGGCTCCAGATGACGTCCAGAGCAGACGTCCACCGCAAGGCATCATTTTCCCCTGTGGCTGGAGCAATTGGACGTTCAGCAGACCTTCGAGGAATTGCGTCTCGCCGGCGTCACCGGCTTCGCCGGCATCAAGGCGGATCCTGTGGCGCGTGGTTGTGGGCGGATGTGCATGAGACGTGGAGGTGATGGGTTACTATCGGTTAGGGTGGTCAGGGGGGTTTGGTTCGTTGTTGCTCAACTAGGCTGACCTTTGTTTCCTTAGGAGATATTGCGAAGACCTTTGCACCGGTGAACAGCACTTGATAGCTAAACAAAGATGCTAAAAGTGTCATGATTCATGATGACGTATGACATGCCCTAAACTTGCATAAAGAACACAAATATGAAGGGATGTGCTTTGATGTTCTTTTCTCCAGTCGCATGTAAAAGTCGACCTCAAGCATCCCGCGTTTTTGGGGGCTGGTCGCACTTGTTCGCACGTCGGCTCAGTGCTGTGCTCGACGTGCAGGACGACAACGTGGCGCTCTTGAACTTTGTGGAGCAACTGACGATCTCTCACAACTTGCGTGCTGGGAAGATGTTTTGGAGAAATGTCTACCGGACCCCGGGGCTTGCTTCAGCAGCTTTCCCTTTGGATTTGTTGATGATTTGTGGTTTGTACTGTAGGGGGCAGCCTTGAAAAGCACCACCAGCAGAAATGGCATGGTGTTAAGGCTTTGGTTGCTGCGCTGCGCTCAGATGGCAGACCATGACATAGCACGGAGGATGCGAACCTTTGTGGAGAAGTTCAATAAAGAGAATCCCGAGCTTGCTGCAAGCTACTCAACTGATGACATGATGTTCTTTCCATCACCCCTTTTACTTACAACAACGGATTCTGAAGAAGATGGACAAAGATGGATTCCTATATGCGTATATTATACATGCGAGTTCAAGACAATTTACAAACAATAGTCTGACTAGGGGATCCGAGTCTGGGGATTTCCTTTACTTCAACAAGCCCTAGGGCTCCAGCCACCTCCTGAGGTTCGGTGGTTGGGGTGGATGCCGGGGGAGTCTAACCACCGAACCTGAGGAGATGGGCCAGGAGCCCTAGGGAAGGGAAAGCATAGTCTTTGGACTTCGCCTGGGTGTACATCGAGATGTGTCGCCTTGGGCCTTTTGTATGACTGACCTGCTTATTTACCGTGGGATGCTCCTGGGGTTCCAACATCCGGTGCTCTATTGGTCTTTGAGAAGCACACATGTTCCTTCACTAAGGATGTTGCACTGCAAGACCAGGTCTTGCTCTTGGAACCCGATTACCACCCGACCACTTATTGGTGACGTAGGCTACTGGCTAGACCATGAAGCATGAACAGTTAACATAGATGCTCTTGCCTGGTTCTTCAAAGTGACCTTTTGTTAACCTGGTTTCAGGTCACTTAAGCCTCCTAAGGATCACTTAGGAACCTTCAAAAGGTCACTTTGAAGAAGCTTTTGGGAGTTCTTTCTTTTGCTTCACCCTGGACCCTCCGCACCCATCTACCTTTTAGTGGCCAGCTTCACCAGCAAGGCTATCAGCATGGGCCAGTGAAGACGGAAGAGAGCTTTGGAGCAATGCTGGCCTAGTCTTAGTACCTCCAGGTTGCTGGAAGTCCGTTCAAGAAAAGACACCTGGGAGAGATTGGGTTTCAACCGGGAGAGCATCAAGTACCTACCAGGAGAGGTAGCCAGTGACTGTAAATAGGACCATAGCTGGGGTACCAGACTGGGATAGTTCGACCTCGACCTTCCCGATCGCACCCAGTCGGACCCATGGATGCATGCTTTGGGGGGGGTGGCTCCTCCTGGTGTGGTGGATCAGACTATATCAGACATACAATGACTATATACCAGGCCCCCCCAGGCCATGGGGTGGTTAATGGATACCCCTTAACCTCTATATAAGGAGCTATAATTAGACACCTCTTAGGGGGGCCCTGGTATATTTGTATATTTAAATAGAACATTTATAAATTATGTGTGTGTTTTACATATATATATATGCTTATGTCTATGTGACATGTATATTTATTGAGGCACATAACGGCTCTCATGATCACCCTGCCGCCCAGCCATCAGCAGATCAGCCAGCGGATCAGCGGATCAGCCAGCGGATCAGCGGATCAGCCAGCGGATCAGCGGACCAGCGGATCAGCCAGCGGATCAGCGATCACCGGATCAGCCAGCGGATCACCGGATCAGCCCGCGGATCAGCGGATCAGCCAGCGGATCAGCGGATCAGGCAGCCCAGCGATCATAAGTCCATAACGGGCAATCCAAACAGACTCAAATGGGGGATTTGATGAAGCAACATTCTACCCTGGGATTTCTGGCCAACCATTTGATTCATTGGGTTGAATCTCGAACAACCGAGCTATTTTGCTAAGGGTGTGAAACGACAAAACCAGGTCAAGGTTAAAATTTATCTTTTTCACTCTTGAGAGGCTAGGGTACAGACCTAGAAATTGGGTGGCCTTTGTTTTGGACTGCCAACCATCAAACAGATGCTTTACTTTTCAAACGGGGGTCAAATTGGTTCTAGGGATATACATGGATATACTTACCCTGATCGTCCTTTGACTCTGGAATACGGCGACTAGCGAAACAATCCCAAAAAAAGAACGACAAGCATGTGAAAATACCGTCGGTGCGAGATATTGACGACAATGGCTCAAATTTGCTCAGGTGGATTGCAAATCATTATATTCAAAACAGGGTTAAATCATGATCTCAACCACAACTCATTTATAGATCCGTGATGAATGCACGGCAGCCCAATTTAGTTCAAATCAAGATTATAAAACAAAGCTCTCTCGATGAAGTTTATAGATTGAGTTGCCCATGAAACGGGCGCAATGGAGACGGAGTCGCGCGAACCCAAGCACTTTTTCAACTCCCAACTGTCAAGGTGGGTCCGTCTCGTCTGCCCAGGTGTGGCATCAGCATCAAGTGCCCCAGAACATTTTTCAAGATCATTGAATGACTGGCAGTCCTCAGTGTTTCAAAACTCATGAGATACATATTCATACTTGACTTCAAGAGATTTTGGCTCTGGCTTCTTTTGTGCGCAATTTACCTAGCAATCATGAGTATGGATTGCAACGCTGAAGACCATGTTCGGTTTGCCCATGCCGAACGGCAATGCTCGGTAGAGAACTGTCAAAAGATCTATGTGACCCTGACCTGCTTTAGAGAGTTCATAGGGGACTTCGATTGATGAAGCCATCATGAAACTGGCTGTACCAAAGTCCAGCCATGCCAGGATTGGCTTCTCAGCCACGTTCTTCATGAGGAGAACCTCAAGAAGATCCAGGCTGACAAGAAGAAGTGTGAGAAGAAGAAGGCTGAGTCTGGGGTGGAGTCTTGTTCCAGGTTTTAGATATATCATGGATGGAAATAGTTAATTCGAACATATTCGAACAATTAATCGACTTTGAAGCAATCAGGAGATGTATGCATTCGCCATCAAGATCTCAGATGGTGTTGAGGAGGATAGGGCTGCGCAAATTGATGACCAGGCCTATCAGTACCTACTAGATCTAGATGTAGACTTCGGACCTGTGATCCATAGCAGTCCTGTTAGGCAGCTGCGAATTACCAGCTGCTGCACTCTTGGTTCTCCATCTTTGGCCGCCATTCACCCACAGGTAAAGAAATGGAGGCCCATACTGGGGAGTGTTTTCTCCTCTTTGTAGGGCACATGTATTTGCACACCCACTTGTGAGGCTGCAATTCTTGAAGCTGACCAGACTAGATACATCTTGGGCAGCAAATCCATGAAGTTGAAACAGGCGAATTGGATTGTTTTAGATTGCGCATGAACTTAACTGAACTCTCTTTAGCTAGTCCTGTCCATCTCCTTCCCATGGAGGCGGAAAGCTATGAGGCGGCTCTTGAGTTTCGAGCTCTAATCTCCGACTTCCTAAATTCAGAAAGGCGAAGTGCAGGCTGCAGGCCTGGATCAAATTGTGGCCATTCAATATCGATAAGTTGATCAAACATCACTCTATGTTGGCAGGGGTGGGCCTCACAAATCGAAGATCCTCGAGCTCAAGAAAGTTATCCGGGAGGTTTCCGGTATTCGGACATCCAGATCATACCAGGCCGCGATCCGACCCCATTGCCAAACTTGGATTCCCGGACGTTTTCTCAGGACCTTGAAGAAAAGGTCAAGCCGGTCAAGCCTGACCAACAGGCGCACGGGACTGATCACCGCCGCTTCAATGAAGGGTTGGTCCAGTCCTTTCCCATGGTTTAATAATTTTGCTGACATGCTAGCTAGGAACTGAAGCTAGGAGTATAGGTGTCCACTTTTTCTTTGCCAGGAGACACTGAAGTCGACCAGAGTTGACAAAGGTGATCATGAGGTGGCAGGAGGCTGTCAAGCAAGGTCCAAGGCATGCAGGGTCAAAGCGGCAGCAACAGCAGCACCGAAAGCAACACAGGCAGCACGAGCACGGCATACTGCAGAGAATAATCCACAACCACCAACACCATCAGCAGCAGCAGCAGCTGAAGAGCCTGAAGAGGATGCAAAGGCTGAGGAGCAAAGTGATGCCTCACAGAACAAGGCTATGGAAGCAGCAGAATATGAGGACGAGGATGATGCTTCGCAAAAAGAGGCTGAGGCTCAGGAACAACCAGAATGCGATGAGGATGAGGCTTCAGCAAATGAGGAGCAAAGCGATGCCTCATCACAAAGGGACATGTCACATCAGGAGGATGCAGCAGCAGAATCCACTGGTGAGAACGCAACACATGATGATGCATCGCCAGGAGAACAGGAAGTAGAGGATACAACGGAGGATGATGACACACCAGCATCAGCAGATGAGGAAGAGGCACCAGCAGACGAAGCAGCAGCAGAAAAGGAAGCTAGCTACAGTGAGGATGAATCACCAGGAGCAAAGGAAGAGGAGGGCCTGGAACCACCAGTGCCAGCACAAACCAGACCTTCACAGCGGACACAAGCAGTGTTGCTTGCAGCCAGGGCAGCACGACTGAAGGCAGCAACGAAGGGAGATGAAGGGTCTGACAACGGCACACTTCATTACAGCAAGGATGAAGACATGATGCAAGAACCAGCAGATTCGCAACCAGAGTCCACACAAGAGGATCCTGCAACAGAAGCCAGCGAGGATGACAGGGGGAATGAATCAGGGCTAGCAGCTACAGTTCTAGAGGCAGCGGAACAGAGTGTGCAGCAAGCATTGTCAGCAGCGATGCAAAAAGCAAAGGCAGCAGCAGCCTCGCTTGACCCAGCAGACTTTGACACACAGCTGGAAGCCCCGCTTGACCCAGCAGACTTTGACACACAGCTGCCAGAACAAGCACTCTCCAGTGAGGATGAAGTTAGAGATGCAAAAGGCAAAAGGGTGTTCAAGGGTACTTTCAAGGACTGATGCTCCCAGAACACTCACTAATAGTCTCTTTTTCTATGACTTGCAGGACAGGCAGCCTCTTGTTGCTCAGCCTGCTCATATTCCTGACGATATCAAGAACTCCATCGATGAAGTGATTAGGAACATGCAGGTGGAACCGAAAGACATGGACAAGGACCTTCTTAAGGCAGGACAATTATCATGCTCGTGCGTGATGCGCGTGTTTGTGACTGGCAGGCTCAAGGAAACGCCCGGAAGAGTTTGAAACGAGGGCCAGAGGCTGGCCAAGGTGATGATCCGGGGAAAGGTGGTCATGGAAGGGGACGCGGCCGGGGTCGTGGCAAGGGCAAGGGCCGTGGCCGCGGCAAAACCGCTCCGGATCCAAAGAATGATTGCGATGAGGATCGTGATCAGTCTGTGAACAGGAACTTGAACGATGAGTTTGATGCTGTGGCTGACTCCCGAGAGAGTTCCCCAGAGCCTGTCACCCCAGCACTTCCAAAGAACCCTCCACTTTCGAGAAAGAGGACTGGTGACAAGATTGAGAACCCTGGGAAGACCCGACAAAAGCGTGACCATGGTCATGATGAGGAGAAACCCGAACCAAACAAGAAGAGGAAGCGTTCAGGTGGTGCTCAAACCACTGAGCGAGCTGCGCAAGTAGCCAGACCGTTGGAGGAAGGACTTCAACGATTTGCATCCGCGAACGAGGCCTGGAATCTTATAAATAAAAATGCATATGGATACTGGACCTGGGCAATTTATAGTTAGGGGCCATGCTGGTGCAGGTCATTACCTTCCTCAAGGGTGAGAGATTGCCATTCCTTGAGATTCCGGAGGAGGTGACAAAGGCCTATTCGACCCAAAAGCTACAGCCTCAATTATGCGATAGCTCTAGTGTTGATCGTTTTTATAATGTCTCATTTGGACGTCAACCGATCAGGTCGATCAGTGTCCGGCCGCCAGCATGTGCAAAAGCAGGGAGCCGGTCGATTCAGCTTCTCTATTCACCGTGACTTCCCTTCATTATTGTTTGTCCTTAATTGCAATGATCCAGAACATCTAGATCCATTTTCCAATATGCATATTTGACGCAACTCTGTGCCCAGGAGAATCTTGTCATTCTATGTCTCACGTGTTCACCCAGAGTGTGAACAGATGGCAATCGGAGAGGGCTTCAA